GAGAACGAAGCGTCGATGCTTGTCGTATCGGTATATGCACCGAATGATTGCAGTTAGCTAGAAATGAAGGATGAATTCTACAAGGACCTCTCTCAACTGCTCCAAAGTTCTCGATCAACGGACATCGCTGGAGATTTCAGTGCTCAAGTGAGATCTCTGGACGAATCAAAAAGGCTACTTGGTGGTTCACATGCAATCCCAGCTAACCGGACGGACAACGGAGATCGCCTACTCCAACTTTGAACTGACTACAAACTGTTTCTGTCAAACACAAACGACACCGTTTTACGTGGAAACCGCTAACCTCTGCACAGTGATGGCCTCAAATCAGCCTTATGGTCATCAGCTACCGCTGATCAACACCCGTGGGTATGCACTAAGGTTTTCGACGGCCCAGATTCTCCCTACGCCTGGTAAACAAGCGCAATAAAGCCACGGACATTGGATACCCACGATATAATGTTCTCGATAGTCGCAGATCGACCTTCGAAGTAATGCTCTTTGACCATCCCGCTGTTCAACCAACTACCGAAGGACTCAATGAACACGGCCTTAATTAAGGACGCTATTCAAATGCCGATTTTGGCTACCTTACTGAACGGCTTCAAAATCAGTCCAGCAGATGTCAAATATAGCGCAGCTCGCGAATCCCTTAAACACCAGCTCATCCAGAAGCTGAAGAATAACTGCAAGAAACGGTGTATAGGGAATGATACAGAAATGGAGAAGGCTGCGGTTATTGGTAATAATCGCACTCTTTTTCGTCTAATTAGTATACGGACTCCGGGAAAATAGGCGTAAGTGAGGCAATTAAGGAATCCGATGGCACATTGATTCGTCACTAGCAACGCCGTCTTGATCGATGGTCTGGACTTTTTGAGGCTCAATTAAACTGGCCCTCATCAATATTAGACATGTCAACCCCCACCTCGACTGGACAAATTCCCCCAGTTGATACTAGCCCTCCATCAGAAATGGAGGTTTCCCGGGCAATAAGTTATTGCAAAAGTTATGAAACCTCCTTCCCGGGCAGGTTGTCCCCATCGATCTTTAAGGATGAAGGTTCAACGTTGGTCTTGAAGTTGACAAAACTACTGTGTTTGTTATGGGAGAAGGAACAGGTTTCAACTGAATGGTATCGAACGATCATCTTACCAATGTGCAAGAAAAGCAATAGGTCCTCGTATGAAAACCTCAGGAATTAGCCTGATCAATATTGTCTCTAAGCTTCACATTGGCATCATGCTCCATCGATTTACCGACCCACGTGAACAGTGCACGCGTGAGAATCAGCCTGGTCTTAGATCCAGTCGAGGATTTATCGACTACGTTTCCACTCCTAGTCAAATATTTGAACACAGACACTCCTTTTGTGGATTCACCATTTGTGCCTTTGAAAGCGGTCTTCGATTCAGTTGACCGCTCTGAACTCTGGCGCTGCCTCTCTTTGAAGGGCGTGCCCGAGAATTTAAGTTTAATTTCACGATCTCTTTAGTTGATTAGCCGAAGCGGATTTCGAACCAACGACATCTTTTCGCCTGAGTTCACCGCGGAAAGTGGTGTTGTTCAGGATTGCCTTCTCTCTCCGTTCCTATTTAACTTTATCTGATTTCATTCTTAAAACAACCCTATCCTCGTATGAGGATAGCGGCGTTGATTTGCTCCCGAGGTGGTGAACTGTCTGATCTGGAGTATGCAGACGACATTGTGCTGCCAAGTGAATATCCAGGTAACTTGCAAGTTTTTCTGGATAGTTTGAGTGCTAATGTAACCATTGACGTTATGCATTTTGCACCTTCAAAGATTGTGTTGGTCCAACCCCCAACCTCACTCCAACTGAGGCAATTAGCAGAGGAAGTAGACGGATTTTTTTATTTTGGAAACTGTCTCACTTGGCGGACGCATCACAGATGAAGTGTTGGCTCGCATACAGAAGGCTCAATTGGTATTTGTCAACTTGAGACATCTGAGATGCCATCGCGAAATCCGGCTGTCTGTGAAGGGTGAGGTGTATGCTGCAATAGTTTGGCCGGTGATGCAACACAGTTACGAGGCGGTACTTAGCTAGGACATTGTGATAGCCGCCTTTGCGTACAGGTGAAATTCTTCCTTTGTCCTATAATTGTGGAAGCACAGCGTTGTCGAATATTTGCCGGAATAGCTCAACTAATACGTCACGTGACTTGCCAGAATGATAAAGATTTGTGGAGATGATTTTTTCATAGCTAATCACTTCGATCTTATCTTTTCAGAGGAAAAATAATAATAGTTATTTTAGAGGTGAAATTTTTGTGGCCGAAACAGGTCCAGACAAAATTGGCGATTTAACTCCACGCTTTTAGCAAAGCATTTATATGTTTGTATAATAGTTTTGGATGGAATCAGCTTTTCTTAAGAATAAATTTGTCTTCCCGCGCAAACTTTATGCAGTGATTTTGCATTTGATTGTAGGTTTTCCATACGTTGTAACAAGGAACGCGTGTGTACTCTCTACGAGAGAGTTATTTCTTGGTTGGAATACATCTAGTTGAATTTCGGACATTCGGCCAAGTATCTTTTTTAATCTTTGTTGCCACCTTTATCAGTTTTTCAAAATGATTCGTAAATCCGTTCTAGGATAACAGAGGGTCACAATGTTTTAGGACGAAACCCATTTGATATTTTGGGATCCTAAGTTTTGTGTAGCCATCAAACGTAAAAGTGTTTTCGTAGTAATTCATTTCAAAGATACACAGCAATTTAGTTGAACAACAATATACAGCATGATCACCGTACCCTAGTTGGATTGTAATAGAAATCATTTCCACCATCGTTTGTTAATACCAGGTCCGGAATCGACAATGACTGGTTGATCAAATTTTCCCAACGGATAACCCCATATTAGTTTGTGTCTGAGTGTATCTCAGATCATTCGATGTACCGGAGTATTTCCATCAGACTACGAGCCTTTGGAGGAAATGTTCTCAATTCGATTTGGGGCCAATTCGGTGTTGTTTTTTCCGTCAGGCCTCATCTCAGTTGCACGGAATTTGAATCACTTTTTGTTTCCTGTTGTCCCCGTTCCACATGATCCCTAATCACTCTCGTTTATTCACCAGATTGGTCTGCTTTTGGACCCGGTGTGGCATCAACTAAGTGCGACTAGCCGTCGTCTTATAGGAGATATTACCAGTCTGAGAAAATTGCTTCGGTCCCTGATCGAGAGTGATGCGGTTGAGTTTTTGCATCGATTGGAAGACCAACGGCAAGCGGCCGTGTCCAGTCTGAGTATGTCGGACCAGGCAAGACGCACTGTACGAACCTGCCCTGCCTGGTTCCTCATGAATCAAGCTGATCGTTTACTTTCGGCTGCTCGAGATCGCGTTTATGCAAACTATTCCCAAAGTGAGTCCGATCTTGTTCTATCATCGCTCTTGTGCTTTTCCTTTAATCTACATCTAGTTAGGGTTCAGTTCTTACAACCACCAACCATACACTTTTGTACGCCTCTTTTGGTTGCTTTCTCATGACTTCTCATTTGGATAAAAGATTAGAAGGAAGAATGGGATGTTTTGGACAGAGTCAAAGGGAAGATGGAGAATTCACATGAACTAAGGTTGCAAGAATATTGAGTAGATGCATGAATGTCACTGTTTGCGACACTCAACCATATCACTCAGTGTCTCTAATAATCGGTTACCATGATCTCAGTGGAACACCAGCTTAGACCTTGTACTACTTCATTGACTAATCGAGCTATATAAGTAGACGCCTGAGGCGATAAATCTGAAGGAAATTTCTTCGCGTTTCCATTTTGTTCTTTCGCTCAGAATAGCCAATATCCTGTTACCCAATTGAGCTGATGACCATCAGAATCAGGTTGTCCTGGAACCTGTTCTCACATCTCTTCCTTCGAGGTTTGGAGTCAGAACTTTTCAGCTCCACTAGTCGAGTTAGCTGACCCTAACTAGGTAACTTGGATATAAGCCTTTTGCCCTCTTAGCTTAATGCAAACGCTGTCGTAACGATAACGTCATGAGTAGGAATTCTTCATCGGATTCTTTGGGAGACGTACACCATGAGAGCATTCCTGTGGTCGAGATAGATACCTCATCCACCTTCGAAAAAGAAACGGGGTTTTTGATGGTGGTTATCCGGGACAACCTACAGGTTTGCTTGATCTGTTATAGGAGGGGGTCACAATAAAGTAAGACAGTGAAACTGATTATTTGTAGTGAGGTGGGTAAGTGACAGTCGCTCTTTTAGTCGCTATGCGAATTTCCCGTTGGAACACCAATTTCGAATGTTCTATTGTGTCATATTATCTGCGGTTACCCCTGTAACACGTAAGATCTTTTCTGCATTCCGATTCCAGAACAAGTCCATATCGAATTGAATCAGAAATGGATGACTCTGATGGAAATTCTCAAAGAAATTTGCTCCACCAACCCTAGTGATTCTTCACACAATGGATCAATCTTAATCTTGGTTGGACGAGAGCACACTGCTCGATCACTGGAACGGTTTCTGCGCCGAGGACCCCGCGGAATTCGACGCTTTTTGTGCAGTAGTGAGCAACTGGGAAGTGTATACAAACCGTCGGAAACCAAGGTTAGTAGTATTCTTTCGAAACGGAGAGATAACGAACGAATGGACCGAATGGGAGTGTGTTAAGTGATGGCCTATATATATATATATAT